ACGTTTTTAGCAGCCAGTTTCTAAATAATACGAATTTTTCGTATGACGAGAACCGGCGCATTTTTGCAATTTGACAGTCAATTCGTAAAATTTTGCGATTTACGATAACCACAGCATGGCTAAGAGAACAGCTTTTTGGAGCCCAATGTCTTGCTTTTGGAGTTGGTTCACTGGGGATAATTCGAACTCTACGAGAAATAAAATTCCAACCCGATGTTACCTATTCCTTGAGCGTAGGCTGAGATGTGTCATGTCAATAGTCCACAGGATCAACATCAGCATAGTCATCCATATCTATATAAACATGCTACTGCTGCTTGTTTGTCCTCCTCCTCCTCCTTCTCTACACTTTTTTGAGTGCTGGAACTCCTGAAATTAAAATCGAAATCATAACATGTCAACACATTTTGTAATGCAGCAAAAACTAACCAAAAATCATAAAAGTCGGGTCCGACTGAGTGGCAGGGTGGGTGGCTGGGATGGATGGTTGGGTCGATGCCTGAGCAAACACAGAAATAATGCAAATGCAAATGAATCCGCGACAGCAGGATGTTCGGACTGGGCCCGGAGTGGGAGAACTGAGCTTCTACATGGAACAGGTGTTCCACTTGCTTCTTTATGCCAATAAAAACTGTTTGCATGTATGCACACACACACATGCATATGAGGGACTGTGTGGGTGTGCGTGTATCTGTGTGTGTGGTTGGTATAAAAATGTAATAACAAAGTTGGCGGCATTGCTTTTTATGGCCTTTTTGTCATTGCGTTCTGTGTGCAGTAAAAACTATTTGCCCAACCCTCATCCTCATCCTCACCCTCACCGTCACCCTCAACACTGTCTCATGTACGAGTATGTTTACCAGCAAAATGCCAATGGACACAAAATCCTCCCATGCGGCTATGTGTGTGTGTATGGCTATGTCTCTGGTTCTGGCTCTGGTTCTGTCTCTCTGTCTGTTGTCATATCAGTGTGCTAAAAGTAACCGCATGACGCTGAAAAGTATGCGATGGGTCCTGCGAAAACCTCCTGCAGTGAAGCAGCGCAAGTGCCAGCAGCCAAGGCAGTGTCCTGTGGTCCAGGCAGGAATATCCGTAGCAACAGTTCCATGTGCATGGTCGGTCGTTGGGCATTGGCAGGCGCTCGCCCGTCAGCGTTTTCATTTCAAATTCAAATGCTGTTTGCATAAAAACCAAGCCAAGACATCGAAAGGCATCACGTTTCCCCGGCAGCCATGGAACTGGATCCGCAAAACTGAAGTCCTCTTGTCCCCTTCGTGGGGCGGGAGGCAGCAGCAGTGACAATAGCAACAAACGGGTGCAGTTGCAGGGATAGATGGATGGATGGGCGGATAGATGGGTGAATCGTTTTGGTTAGAATGAGTTTTGAGGTGGATTGCACTGCCAGAATGTTTGCAATGTCGTTGGCCGTGGGGTTCAGCTAAAAAAAATACGACAAAAACAAAACAAAACGAGAAGGAACGTGTGAGTCGTTTCTGCGGACACGACTCTACTTATACCCGTACTCAGTCAGTATATACATTTTTGAGCTTATGATTTTATAGAATTAAAAAAAAAAAAATTTTACATTTTACATTTTTTTGCTACATCTATATCTACATCTACATATACAATGTCTTTCACATCTAACATGTAGTTGTACATGTTCCATTTAGTTCTACATCTCCTCCGCTAGGGGTTGCTCGCGCACTGAACGCGGCAGGTGTGCGAGCGAGAGGAAAATGAGTTGCGTTGTCGTGAGCGGGAGGGGGGCGGGAAGCAACTGCAAATTAATTTCTTCATTCTGGCTATGATTATGATCCGATCTGATTCAGTTCGGCAATCTGGTAGTATGGGCATCTCTACGATACTGCGTTTTTAGTTTTATCGTATCTTAAACTGTGCCTGCCACATTTTTCCTTTGTGTGGCCGGAAGGGGGCGGGGCGAAATTTTGAATACACTTGTAGTAGTGTGATATCACATGAGTCTGGAAACCAAATTTGGTTTCTCAGCTCTTATAGTCTCTAGATCCAGGCGCTCATCAAGACGGACGGACGGACAGACGGACAGACGGACGGACAGACGGACATGGCTATATCGCTCGGCTATTGATGCTGATCAATAATATATATACTTTATGGGGTCGGAAACGTTTCCTTCTCTGCGTTGCACACATCCACTTTTACCACAAATCTAATATACCCCTTAACTCTTTTTTGAGTACGGGTATAAAAATCGAAGCAGAATTGCCAAAGACGTTTCATTTGGCCAACAGGCGGCGGAGCCAGCTGGCAGTCTCCGTTTTGCATGTCCTTGCCCGTGTCCGTGGGGTATGTGGCACGTGGTACGGGCTGCGGGCTGCGGACTGCAGGGCAACGGGGCACGGTTCTGTGTCCGTGTTGGGTTAAGTGGATTGTTTACTTTGATTACAAAAATATGGCAAATGTTTGCACGTTTGATGTCTCACTATGAGTGTGTGTGTGTTTGTGAAAGAAAAGCTTGGAGATGGAACAAGAGGGAATGAGAAGGACAGAGAGAGAGAGAGGAGTGGTTCATCGTGTTCCATCGATAAAACGAGTGAGGAAAGTATTTCAATGATATTGTTTACGTTTCGTTTTAAAGTAGAGATATTTTAGATTCCTATTAGACTTTTCATATTTTGAACGTACGAAATGGAGACTTAAATTGAGAGCAAGGCATTAGGTGATAGTTTCGTCTTGGTTCTATTTATGTGTTATGAGGTTTCGTTTTGTACAGACAAAGGAGTGAAGTTCTCAGATACTGAAGGTTTTCTGCATTAAATATTTGTAATTTCCACTTAACTTTTCACCTTCTCACGCTCTCATCTCTAGGTCAAACAACAGCAGTCAAAAAACACACACACACACATGTATTTGCATGCAGATGCTAAAATAGAGAGGCTGCTAGCATGCCAGAGAGAGAGAGAGAGAGAGAGAGGGAGAAATAGAGAGAGATAGTTCGGAGAGAAGTACAGCCAGACTGGAGAGATAAATGGCGTTTGCCTTGGCGCGCTTGTAAAATCCAAAAGCTAACATTATTACAAAAAATCTGCAGTTATACATTTGACTTTGGGTTTTATTTTTATGATTTTTGTGCAGTTTGCAGTTGACCGACCGACCACCCAACCTACCTAACCCAACCTCTCTGACTCTCTTCCCCTTCCACCCACTTGCTGGTTGGCTGGTTTTTTATTACATTGAGCCTTTTGGGACAGAGGGAAGGGAAGGGAATGCCTCTGGATGCCAGATGGAAAGAAACTGTTGATTGTGAGAATAATAATCGTAGTGTGGGCATATGGAAATGACAGGGAAAAAACACCAATGGAAATGGTACCAAAAAACATATAGGAAAATAAAGGTGTTGGGAGGAATCTTTGAAACTTTCAGCAAATAAAAAAGAAACGAGATCGAGTCGAAATAGAATGAATAGATGAATGCATCAGAGCATGGCCATAATGAAGAGAGAGAGAGAGAGAGAGGAGCATAGCCCCCACCAGTGGGTCATCGAAGGTCACAGGCATTTATCAGCAGATCTGCACCTCATCACTGGCAGGGGAGCCAGAGACCGCCCCGCCCCAAGTTCACATATTTGAATTTTCCCTGCAATGTTTGCACTGCCCCGAAAACTAGTTTTACAGGCAGCGGGAAAAAAGAAGTGCAGTATGGAGGGAAGCGTAACTCTCTTATTGGAACAATTTCTATTTGCATGGACAGTGGTATAAAATCACAGCGATGGGGGGCACGGGCGCGCCCACAAATGCCAAATAGTTTTTATTCTTATTCTTTCTGGTTCCTTTTCATTTTACCGAGCAGAATATACTGGAACCCTTGCCGCCCCCGCCACCGTCTACTGGGTGCATTTTATTTTATTAATGGGAATTTGTTTTGGCCAAAACGTTGAACCGAAACGAACGGAACGGAGTGTCGAGAGTGGGTCGGGGCAGTGGAGAGCGTACCACTGGCCAGGATGCGACCAGGATGCCACCAGGATGCCGCCTCGTCGCTATTATGGCAGCCATTTGTTTGCACGCGAGCATCCGAGTGCCAGCGGACGTCACGGGACCCAGGGACCAGGGTCTAGGGTCCAACAGGGCGTATGCGCTATATAATTTTTCTCGCGCTCTTGGTGGTGCCCGTCCCAGCGACGACCACATGTCGCTCATGATTAATTGAAAGATTCTCTCAACTTCAACTGTTTTCGGTGTTTGCGTTTTGCGTTTCTCTTTCTCTTTTTTTATTTTATTATGCTACTTCTATTTTTTCTCTTGACTCTGCTGCTGAGTTTTGGCTAGTGGTAGCTGTAGCTGTTGCTGTTGCTGTTGGTGGTGTTGCTGTTGGCCAAAGTGTTTTGATTAATGAACAAAAGCTGAGGGAAAATTTAAATAAATTCCTTGAAATATCAAATGCGTTTTTCTATGGAAATTCCATCAAGTTTTGTACGTTTTACAATTAGTTCTCGGTGGCTAATTGTTGTTTGACTTTAAGCCGAAGATTAACCCAAGAAAACTGCTCAGAATAATACGAAAACGAGAAGGAACGTGTGAGTTGCTTCGTTGGACGCGACTCTACTTTTATCCCCGTACTCAGTCAGTATTTAAATTCAATGTACCTACACACATTTTTTCCACATGTTTCAATATAATTTTTTGTATTTCCTGTACTTTTTTTTAAATTTTCAAATTGAAAGTTTCTTTTTGGTGCTTTTTTGCACTCCAATTCATTACTTTAATGTATTAGATTGCTTGGGCAGGCGAAGGCCTTTGTAGCCATGACTTTAACATGTTAACAGTTTTGCAAAAAGAAGTCAACTCTTAAAAAAAAAATAAGCTTGCCTAGGAAGTAATTTGTCAGAAATCGATCAGTTGAAGTTGTTCCCGCTATCAGGTGGCAGTCAGTCCCCACAAACCGTTGTCTTATCACAGTTTTCTCCTCCAAGCTGTCAATGTTTCGCAGTGCCCTGATAAGACGCGTTCTTTGGGTATCGCCAGATATTTGGTGTGTCAGTGTTGAAATGGGTGGGGACTACATTACATTGGAGCAGCGTCATCAGCTCGGCGATACCACACTCTACCCGGGAAGCTGTGCCAGCGGCGGAGGAGGATTATCACGTGCCGGTCACCGCCGCCTGTCGTCCTGCCAGCTGCTGCTGCTGATCCTGGTGGCCGGCAGCTCTGTGATCGCACTCTATGCCTACTGGGACGTTATGATGCTGACGGTCGGGCCTCCCGATTTCCAGCTGAGCAATGAGACACTCGCCCAGCAGCTGCAGCGCGAGGTACGAGTCCTCTGCTGGGTGCTGACCACGCCCAAGTACCACAAATCGAGGGCGGTGCACGTGATGCGGACGTGGGGCAAGCGCTGCAACAAGATCTACTTCATGACATCGGAGCCGGACGACGAGCTGCCCACCATTGTGCTCACCAAGCCCGACAAGTACGAGGTGCTCTGGGGTAAGACAAAGGAGGCCTTCACCTACCTCTACGAGCACATGCGGGACGAGGCCGATTGGTTCATGAAGGCCGACGATGACACGTAGGTTGGATGGGGAAGGGAACATCGATGAGACATAATACATAATTATAGTTAACGATTGCATCGCTTTCGACAGCTACGTGTTCGTGGAGAACCTGCGCTACATGCTTTATCCGTATTCCCCCGATCAGGCTATATATTTTGGCTACAACTTCAAGATGATCGGAGAGCACCCAAAGAACGAGGTAAATATTTTGAGCCCAAGAATCTATGGCTATGATTGTCTGTACCCAACGAATCACCAGTCCTACATGTCCGGTGGAAGTGGCTATGTTCTGAGCCGGGAGGCCCTGCGCATATTCGCAGAGGGATTGAACGACACGACAAAGTGCCGGCAGGAGGATAATCATGCCGAGGACGTGGAGATGGGACGCTGCCTCTTCAACTTGGATGTGAAAGCGGGCGACTCACGAGACTCGAAGTTGCGACACCGATTCTATCCACTGTTGCCCTACAACATACTCCTTTCGAGCTATGTCGGGCTAGACTTTTGGCTGTACAAGTATGCCTACTACTCGATGCGATCGGTGAGTGCAGGGTAGGGATCGGGATCGGGATCGTCCCAATATCCTCTAGTGGCAGCCTTAACAGAATTCTCTATCCTCTCTCTATTTTTCTCTCTCTCTACACCGACAGTGCATGGACTGCCTCTCCGAATATCCAGTGGCCTTTCACTATGTGAATCCCGAACAGCTTTATGCCTTTGACTTCTTCAACTACGACTTCCAGCTGGTGGGCAAGCAGAAGCCCGAAGAACGACTGCCAGAGAAAATCAGGCCGGAAGAACTTGTCATACCCGACTACGACAATAGTAATACCTAATACAGAACAATTCTTATTCCTATACAACGAAAAGACTCTATTTAATATGCTCGCCGAGTACAGAGTATACTCTTATGTAATATACACATACTATCTAGGAACATTTTTTTTTTTTTAATATCTAAAAATATATTTCAAGATATCTACAATTTGAATGAAATTTCACGTAATGAATGTAGATAGGTTACATCCAATCAATCGAAAATAAACCCGACAGCATTAGACTTTTATTTGAGTTTAAAATTGAAGATTTGTATGTGTGTAACCTGCGCTATATAATCATCATCATATAATCATATATATTTACAGTCATACGTATTTTAATCTCCCCTTTTTAATACATTTTCCATCTTATAACTAAATTCTAATTATTAGCATTTTTGCCCCCGTTTCTGGCTTAGTAATGACAGCTATACTTATACTACTTATTTATACTGTTACGAATCATGGATCCCATGGTTCGTCACAAGCAGTCAATGCAACCAAAGCTACTCCCAGGTGAAGATATCAACACCAACGAATTCGAAGACGCAGCACAGGTCGAATGACAGAAAGACGTCGACCGAAGAAAGAAAGAAAACCGAGAGCTCAGCACAACCGCGGCTAATCGACGGAAAGGCGCTGACCAAGATTATATAACCAACTATCACCGCAGCAAGACCAAGTAACCAAAGCTCTCAAATGACGACATCAGCACCCAGAAAAAACGAAAACTCAGCACCCGTCAAAAGACAGGAGACAAATGGGCTTACGCAATGGGTACCCAAAATAACATTAAATAAATAAATATTCCTAAAAATATATTCACGAAGCGCCAACGAAATTCCTTTCCCACGGTACCGGTGCACACCGATCACCTTACCTTGGGACCTTGGACACTTGGTGGGAGGCGATTGCCTTAGGTAGTCTCCGACTTCCCTTACCGGGAATATTGGACACTGACTGCAAGGCTAATGCCCTGCTAATGCTCTGCACGCGCAGACTATAATTCGACAATATATATTTATGTAAGAAACCCTAATAATACGAAAAAATAAAGATACCCATTAAAAAAATAAAGGATCCTGAGATAGGTTCTTACAATACTAACACTAATACTTATACCAATCACAAGCCATCTTAAACTATTGAATAATATAATATAAGCTAGAGTAAAATAATACTAAGAACTATAATAACTTGAGAACTGTTCAAGGGATTCCTTTGCCCAAAACGAATAGTCTGCTCTGAGCGTTAACTCTGCTGAACTGAGTTTCTTTTGGTATCAAAATATTTTTTTTTCTGGGTTTCGCTTTCCTTTGGTCATTCGAAAAATGTTACCCTGCTTTTCGTTTCTTTCCTCCTTTGCTGAGAGTGGATCCCCAATGTCTTAAGTTATACTTTTTGAAGATTCGTTGTTCAGCTTTTTCTATTTTTTTGAACTTTGGAAATAATTCGAACACTGAAATTCATTCTTCATCGCATTCAATGCCATTGTCTACACAGGAAATAAAAATCAACGCTGCGAATGAAGTTGAGGCCCAGACTAAAGCACCAGTTGGGTCCATGGATCAGTCCCCTCAGATGCTTGCCAGATCTCCTAATTGGGGACAGAACATGTTCTTGTCTTGGCTTGTCAAGGCTTTTTTGACGGAGAAAGTGTGGCTTTCCGAGTCGTTGGAGTAACAGTTTTACTAGCAGGGAACGTCAACGCGGGAACACCTGTTTCTGCATTCTGCAATCCAAATACGATGTACACATTGAGAGCGGTCTGATGTCCCAAGTATTTTGTGGCAAAGTATTTTTATACCCGTACTCAAAAAAGAGTTAAGGGGTATATTATATTTGTGGTAAAAGTGGATGTGTGTAACGCAGAGAAGGAAACGTTTCCGACCCCATAAAGTATATATATTCTTGATCAGCATCAATAGCCGAGTCGATATAGCCATGTCTGTCTGTCCGTCTGTCTGTCTGTCTGTCTGTCTGTCCGTCTTGTTGAGCGCCTAGATCTCAGAGACTATAAGAGCTAGGGCAACCAAGTTTGGTTTTCAGAGTCATGTGATATCACACTGCTACAAGTGTATTTCAAAATTTCGCCCCGCCCCCTTCCGCCACCACAAGGGACAAAAATCTGTGGCAGGCACAATTTTAAAGATACGATAAATTGCAGTATCGTAGAGAATGGCCATATCTACCAGATTGCCGAACCTGAATCAGATCGGATCATAATTATAGCCAGAATGAAGAAATGAATTTTTATTTGCTTCCCCTGCCTCCACCAGCCAGAGACCCGATACTGATTCTCTTTCTCGCTCGCACACTCTGCCTCGTTATGTACGCGAGCGCCGATGTAGCAGAAATATGTAAAATGTTTAATTTTTTTTTTTTTTTTTTTTTAATTTTAAAAAATCTTAAGCTCAAAAATGTATATACTGACTGAGTACGGGTATAAGTAGAGTCGCGTCCCCAGAAGCGACTCACACGTTCCTTCTCGTTGTTATTAATTTTTTAGATTATTAAAAAAATATTGTTTTCAAAACATGTTTTCTTCTCGGTGGTCGGTGGCGGTTGCACGAGGCGCCATGCTGATAGCCAGACACATTCCTTTAAGACTAGCACCACTAACCATACAGTATATAGATGTCAATGCCTCAACCCGCGTCGAGTCGAGCTACAGAACACACCAAGAAAATATGAAGTCTTACGACGGGAATAGGTCCAGGGCCGGATTAGCAGTTGCCTAGGGCCCCCTAGGGATAACAGAAAAATTTTGTTGAAAAAACAAAACTCCAAATAATGAATAAAAAATATAATAGCCACTGATAAAAATACAAATTAATAAAGCAAACATTTAATTTATAAGTTTTTATTTCAAATGAAAAAAGAAGGAACTGGCGTGAAAAAATGGAGGGCCCCAGATTGATGGTTGCCCAGGGCCCGGTTGAGGGTTGATCCGGCCCTGAATAGGTCGCTACATCACATCAGCCCTCAAAACAAAACAAAAAACCAATTCAAGCGGCCAACAATTGTAGAGCCCACACACAAGCACAGTATGTGTGAATACATGGCACACACACATTTACGTAACCTGGAAACGAAACTCAAAACCAACTCAAAACGGTTTCGGAAAATAAGAATTGATACAAAATTTTGTCGTGTCTGTTTACACACATACATTTGCAATTCTCAGCTTGCTTTCGCATCTCGTCATGAATCGAACATGTCGAAAAAATGCCGAACGTTTCAGGCCCACGACCCGAACGTCTCAGCACCACAGCCGAATGGTCCCAGCACCCTAGCCGAAGACCTGGGGGTGCTGGGACAGAACACTCAGCTTGCGCCCCTTTCTTTGTATGAACTGGCACATCTATATACTGTATGGTTAGTGGTGCTAGTACTCAGACGCGTTAGATTTTCGGTCGACCGAAAAACAGGGATGATTTCTTATCGGTTTATCGGAAACAAGACAAATTAAATTTAATTAAGGCAGTCGAATGAATACCAATTATATGGATATTATTATTTATTAATTTTATACCCGGTACTCATTTTAATCTTTTAAAAGGAATATAAAACCATGTTAATTGCATATCTGTCCTGCAGGATCGGATTTATTCAATAGTGCAGTGTGCACTCGCCCTCCAGCTCCACAGCGCCCACAAATAAGACATTTCTGCTTACTTTAGCAAAACATTTGAAATTCAAACAGATTTCTGTTTGTAGTAAACAAACACCAAACAGTGTAACCGTAGGGCATACATTTTGCCCACTTCGGTCACACTAGGCACCGAGCGGAATATATAGAACTTTCGGTCGACTGAAAATAAGCGCGTCTGAGTGGTAGGCTTTAATTTCAAATTGAAATCAAAATTGTACGACGTACTGTATCTGTACTGTACTGTATATAGTAGTTGTCTTTAAAATTGTGGGTTAGAGTGAGTCGTTCAACATGTGCCAATTTGTAATGAAAATTAATTTTTAAAAAGGTGTATAATGAGAAACGCTATGCTCTATCCAGAGCACATAATGTATTACCGGGATGGGGTCAGCGATGGCCAGTGTTGTGAATTTATTATGTTTTATGAAAATTTTAGTTTGAGCCCGATAAGTATCGATAATTGAAATGTGACCATTTTCTGGTATTTAGTATAAGCACTAACCATACAGTATATAGATGTGCCAGTTCATACAACGAAAGGGGCGCAAGCTGAGTGTTCTGTCCCGGCTCCCAGCGCTTCGGCTCTGTGAGGCTGAGACACTCGGGTCGGGAGCCAGGCCATTCGGGTCGGGAGCTGGGCCGTTCGGCATGTATGACTCATGTCGGGAAGCGAAAGCAAGCTGAGAATTGCAAATGTATGTGTGTAAACAGACACGACAAAATTTTGTATCAATTCTTATTTTCCGAAAACGTTTTGAGTTGGTTTTGAGTTTCGTTTCCAGGTTACGTAAATGTGAGTGTGCCATGTATTCACACATACTGTGCTTGTGTGCGGGCTCTACAATTGTTGGCCGCTTGAATTGGTTTTTCGACCTATTCAGGGCCGGATCAACCCTCAACCGGGCCCTGGGCAACCATCAATCTGGGGCCCTCCATTTTTTCACGCCAGTTCCTTCTTTTTTCATTTGAAATAAAAACTTATAAATTAAATGTTTGCTTTATTAATTTGTATTTTTATCAGTGGCTATTATATTTTTTATTCATTATTTGGAGTTTTGTTTTTTCAACAAAATTTTTCTGTTATCCCTAGGGGGCCCTAGGCAACTGCTAATCCGGCCCTGGACCTATTCCCGTCGTAAGACTTCATATTTTGTTGGCGATTATGTCGCTCGACGCGGGTCGGGTCGAGGCATTGACGAAGCCGTTCATAAAATATTTTTTCGTTTTGTTTTGAACAGCTGATGTTGCGACGGGCACGCGGGGTATTTCTTCCATTCTCCTTTCGGCTTGCCTCTGCTTTCGGCTTCGTCAATGCCTCGACCCGACCCGCGTCGAGTCGAGCGACAGAACACACCAAGAAAATATGAAGTCTTACGACGGGAATAGGTCCAGGGCCGGATTAGCAGTTGCCTAGGGCCCTCCTAGAAATAAAAAAAAATTTTGTTGAAAAAGACAAAACTCCAAATATTGAATACAAAATATAATAATATAATATAATATATAATATAATATAATATATATATATTATATATATATTATATATATAATATAATAATATAATAGTAATATAAT